GGAAAGTTGGCGAGCGAGTATAACGGCGCGCGCAGAACCAACGGAATGAAAGAGAGAGAGAGAGAGAGAGAGAGAGAGAGAGAGAGAGAGAGAGAGAGAGAGAGAGGGAGAGAGTGTGTCTCTCTTAACGATCCAGCCAGGCGGTGCGTGATACTACCACGACGTCAACCAATCTCAGGCCCATTTTTTCCCGCGAAGGGGGTCACATTTCTACATGACGTCATGGGAAAGTCGATGACGTAACCGCGCACGCGCGTTTGTCCTGTTTGAGTAGTTTGGTAGGTAGTAAAGAGAAGTGGTAGAGTAGCGTTGCAAACAGAGAGAATTCGCCCATGACGTACTCGCCACGATATGTCTACACAATGTGTGAAAATGATTCCCACCAATAAATCAGTCATCGCCGCTGCTGCTATCTCGTTGCCGCTGTTGCCCGCCAACGTTGACGTGAGCGACTCATACACGATCCCAACGACTCCGCGCCTCGCGCTCTATCACATGAACAAACAACGCCCAATCTGCCCCCTGATCCCTCCTTTGTCTGTGCAGTCAATATTTTTTTATCAGTATGTGTGTAACTCCATTTCTCTCTTGGCGTTTCTCCGAAGTCCTCCTCGTCCGAGTCCTCGTACGAGGGACGAACGAACCGTTGGATGGTGCACGAAGCGCTTAACGAGAGACCGAAAAATAATGTCGCTTTTTCCTCCCTCTTCCTCTTTCTCTCTCATGTGTATAATCGACAGTTGTTGCTCAGGTGACTTGCTCGATTTGGTGATCGTTCTGTTTCCGTCTTTCCCTACGTCCGAATCCTCGACCCCTGGCCTCTTTGTCGCAAATCCACCTACACTCACACATATACACACATACCCAAAACACTCGCTCTCCCCCGCGCCTTTTTACTTTTCGATCTTTCCTTTTTGTTCTCAGGCGATTCTGTGTGTTTCCTTCCTCCTCCTCCTCCTCCTCCTTCTCCTCCTCTTCTTCTCTAGTATTTTGTCCATACGAACGACACACGAGACACGCGTTCGTTGCGACGCAAGACGCGCAGCAAGGCGCGCGATAACGACGTTTGATGTGGGCAATGCATCCTTACCGAGTTCTCGAATTCTCTCCTCAGCGACAGTCCTTTGCACGCCCTTTGCCGACTATTCAGAATTCAGTGGCGTTGCTAAGTGCACTCTCGTCAAACGCTATTATCGCGCGTCCGCTTTTTACAATATACGATCCTTTCATGTTACGGGGTATATCTGAAATTATGTATATCGCGTCGGTGATAATCGGACGCGCGAGTCTCGGGCACCGCGACAATCCTCGATGAGAGAAACGGTGTTGTTGGCGTCATACAAGATTTCATCTTGTACGAGGTTCGATCAAAAAGTAAGGAGAATTTTTAATTTTCTCGGAAAGTATTTATTTCATCTTCAATGTTTATCCCATCTCCTTCAAAGCAGTCCCTCTGTGATATTATACACTTATAGTATGCCAACGTAGTTTCCAGTTTGAGAAACATTGGTGGAATGCCTCTTTAGGTAGCTCGTCTTGAGCTGGATCTGCGATTTCGCCTTTGTCTCATCTATTGTTGAAAAACGTTGTTCTTTTGAGTTTGGGAAATAGGAAAAAGTCACAGGGGGCCATGTCTGGAGAAGAGGGTGATTGTGTTTCGCCAAGAACTGTTGGATAAGCAAAGCGCAATGCTCTCTGATCCGACATTTCGCCACACAAAAAATCGCCAAACACCCTGAAGTACGTCTTGCTCATTCGCGCTCGCCAAATGCAAACTAAGCGTCGTAGCTGCCTGAAAATTGACACGTACGTCACTGGCAGTGCTACCAACACACGCACACACAAAAAAAAAAGAATCAACTGAATAGACAAGATACAGCGCGCGCAATTCCAAAATTCTCATCACTTCTTGATCAAACCTCGTACGATTGGTGCGCTCAGCGCGCGTCAGTAGGCGGCTGTATGTAGGCTGTACATGTTCGCTTTATAATTAATAATCACGCAAAATAATTCGATACAATCGGCGAGCGGATAATGGACCTCGGTTTAATACGAGCTGCAAATTATCGTGAGATAATGTCAGCTTATACGGAGGTGATCCATCATCGACGTCACCATAATAATCGTCGAACAGCAACGGCTTGTCGGCGACCGAACGATTGATTTGTCATAAAGTGATTTGATCACCTCGTAGAATGAGTATGATCAATATTAATTTTAGCGCCACTTTCGTCACACCGCCGGCTCGTTAATCATCGAGTAATGTCGCGGTATCACACTCGTGTCCGCAATTAGCCCGATCGATCTCACTTCACAAGGTATACACGCTGCAATTCTCTGGATTGCGTTACTTACTTCTTACTATTACTACTCCGTAGCCACTCGCGAAGCTTACAGCTGTGTCGCTTTCAGTCTCTACGTGTGAAACGTATATGTGTATTTATATATTTATATATAAACGTATATACATATATATGTATACATATCTTTCTTTTTCTATATACATATATGCATATAATTACATATACATCTCTATATACGTATCGATA